TAATTTGATTCTCACTAATTAAAATAAATCTTTTATCTTATATTATAAGATTTAGTCTATTGGATTTCGATGAATTTTCTTCTATTGCTTCATTCTTTCAATTCGTGATTTATTTCTCGCGGGTTTAACTATCAATGAGAGTAACTGTCTACAAAGCATTCTCAATCGATCACATACATATACACACTATCGTCAAATCAAGTTATTTATGGATTTGTAGAGAATTTCACATTGAATATTTTGATTAACAAAGATAAATTAATCAAATACGGAGAGCAGAACAAAATTTGAAAATTTTATCATTTTAATTGTTGATGCATCACCTATTATTTCTAAAAACTATCCAAAAATTTTCATGAACTTTTTACATCATTTTTATCTACGTAACTATGATAAGTTGAAAGTTCTAATTCTACCATTGAATATAACGATATATCTAGTACAATATATATATATATATTTAAATATTAACCTCTTACTCAATGAACATAATCATGTATCAACATAGAAAAACTAGAATTGAATTTTATTAAAACAAGAGAGAATATATTCTTATACTATTATACTTCCTCATATTGATGAGATAGATTTGATATTATAACTGTATTTATATAGTAACAATGTTAGATTATTTTCAAGCATCTGAAAGTCGGAAATGAATGTAATTTTCTATGACATAATAAGAAGTAAATATGTAGAAAAAAAATGGCGATGAAGTCTTTTCAAATAATAGAGAAGCAAGTATCATAGGTAGCCATCCGACTATGCCTACTTCTATATTTAATAAATATCTGCGGTGAAAGTACTCGAAATCATATGTATACCATTTTTTATTTGCATGCAGTTTTACGAAGTTTTTTCTGTCGTATTGAATAATATATAATTGTAATTTATTCGGTTGATGTAGTGATACAATATATCATGAGAATTATAAGGTAATTGTACCCATCTCATATACTACTCACCATATAATTATATGGTCAAGTCTGTAGAGAAATTATATATTGATATTGGCTACAGTTATTGTACAATTAGATGGTAGAATTAATTAACTTTTAAATGGTATATCATAATTAAAGATTTTCTTGAAATTTTCAAATTGTATTGGTTTTACTCATAAATTTATTCCTGCCTTTTTTATTAATATTAAGGATTGAGTAAAGATTTCTACCTTAATTTTAAGATAAATGGCTGACCTCCATCATGATTTACTTTTACTCTTCTGTCCTCTGACACTTAGAAACAATTTTCCTTTCAGAATCTAAGAATGAAATGATTTTTCACAAACAAAAATAATTTATTCTTCACATTAGACTGTCTGCATTCAAGACTTTGCCATCCTTCGTTCCTTGAAAATATATTTGGATACCTGCCTGGCAAGAAACGATAAGATAAATATACAACATTGAGTTAGGCAGTAGCAAAATTTCGAAAAGAATTGATTGTTTACAGCAAAAATCAACGCGAGATCTCTTTTAGGACTTCATTGATTCGATTTTGCAAAGAAACGAAGAACGAATGGTTGATTCAGTCGGAAATCATTTTTTGGCCTTCTATCATTTACATGATAGCAACAATGAATGCAACGAAGATCAATGTCTCTTTATGGATCTAAGTGCCATGGCCGTGGTCATGATCATTCTGTCTTGTATTTCGAACTATTATGCTTTCTATTCTTTAATTATTCTCTTCTTCGTTATGCATCTCTTTCCTTTTTCCCTTGATGTGCTCTTTTTCGTCTGCATGTTAAGTATTTGCATGTGTGTATGCTTCTATCACATTTTCGTTTTTTTTTCGAATACAAATCATTCGTTTGTGTGTTGATCTTAACAACACGGTTATGTGAAAGATATTGTAGACTGACGTGAGTGAATCGGATGTACATAGTGAATATAACTGTGGCAATTGCATGTATGAGTCAAGTTTCTCGTTCGATTTGATGATAGATTAAACGAATATTTTACGATGAAGAAGAATTTCAAGAAAAACAAAAATCAATTTTGTTTTACACAAAGTTCTATCAATTGTGAAAATCATCCATGTGGGTTAATTGACTTTAGTTCAAATGATGGCTAATACTTTAAATAGTATGGATTTAATAGTGATCGCCAATACGAAGAATGAGAGATAAACAATGAAATTGGTTCTACGTGATATCCATATATATTTTAAAATAATATACAAATGTTAGTAAATAATGCTTATAATACATGTGATGTTATCTTTATATATTTTGTCAATATAAAGAAGATGACATTGAGTCAACATATATTGAATCTGTCTATCGAACTACATAATACTGTAAATGAAACAACAATTCTCATCTCTTCTATTCAGAAAGTTTTTTTTTTTATCAACACGATTAATATAGTCACATGTGTAGTTTCTATATTTTTTCTGCCTATTTTACAAACAGTTTTCATGATTATTATTAATTTAATGTAGATCGAACAATACTCAGTCATTCAGGACAAATTGTAGAAGACATCATTAGTCGGACAACTATTAACAAGAGAAATATCAACCGAGTAGAAACAGCAGCTGTAGAACGAAAAAAAAAAACAACTAATGAATAAAAGCGAGAAGAGTTACCTTTTATACCGGTTCGTTATGTGAGGTTAAAAAGAACAGGAATGAGTAGCCGGCTTTCGAACCGGTTGCTGACTTGATTTTACGTAGAGTATAAATACACAAACTATTCATATAGTTTTGCATGCATTATCTTATTGTAAAAAAGCAAACATACTATAATGGTCGAGATATTTGCGGATCCATCATTAGATATTAATTATTGGGCTCGTTTTCTCATGCAAGTATTTATTATTCTTGTACTTGTTCGCCTTATGGGATGGTTACTTGCATTGATTAAACAACCACCAGTAAGAAATAATTTAAATATAATATATTGTTATGTAAATAATGAATATAGGTTATTGGGGAGATTATTGCTGGAATAATTGTTGGTCCTTCAGTAATGGGTAATATTGAATTTTGGTCAAAACATGTATTTCCTCCATCATCATGGAACTACTTTACATTAGTTGGAAATATTGGTCTTATTTTATTTATGTTCAATTTAGGCTTAGAACTTGAACAAAAACAACTTAAACGTCAATGGAGATATTCTCTTCCAGTATCTATTGCTACTATTGTTGTACCATATGGAGCTGGTGCTGCTCTTTCTGTCTATTTATATAATATTAATGCTCGTGATGGATTTAAACCACCTGATCGAACTGCATTCTTTTTGTTCGCAGCATCAAGTATGTCATTTACTGCTTTTCCTGTCCTTGCAGCTATTCTTACATCGACTAAACTTTTATCGGCCCCAATTGGTACTCTAACAATAAGTTGTGCAGCAATGAATGATATTATGGGTTGGTGTTCATTGGCTATTGCTGGTGCATTTGCTAAAGGATCAGGTATTATTGGTTTATGGTAAGTATAATAAAAATAATTAAAAAATAAATATAATTTATACATATTCTAATAAATCTATAGGGTGATATTAATATCTATTGGTTATGTTATATTTATGTTTACTATTGTTCGATGGTTGATTAAACGAGTACATAAATATTTAATGGAAAATAATAATGAAATGAATCGTACATTTCTTGTTAGTATATTTCTTCTTCTTATTGCATCATCATTTTTTTGTGATATACTTGGTATACATTCATTTTTTGGTGCATTTGTTGTTGGTATTATATGTCCAAAATCAGGACAATTTAATGTTGAATTATTTCCAAAATTAGAATTAGTTACTGTTGAATTATTATTACCATTATTTTTTGCTGCTAGTGGTATGAGAACAAGTTTAGGTTCGTTAAATGATAAATATTATGGTGGTATAACTGTACTTATTTTTACTGTTGCTACATTGGCAAAATTTTTACCAGCATTAATAATGACAAAAATAGTTACAAAACGTTCATGGAAATTTTCAACAAGTGTTGGTATATTAATGAATACACGAGGTTTAGTTGAACTCATTGCATTAAATATTGGTCTTCAACTTAATATTCTTTCACCTCGTCTCTTTACAATGTTTATTATAATGGCTCTTGTAACAACATTTATGACATGTCCATTACTTTGGATTGTTTATCTTCGAACATATAAACCTGAAGAATTTAACAATGAAAAAAACGATATTGAACAAGATGTTGATAAAGATAATAATATTCAAAAAATACCATTATCACCAATTCTTACTAAATTTTAAGAAATAATATTTAATGAGAAGTTAAGTTTTTATATAATGTACATTTATCCTTTGTATTATATTACTTTTTTACTTTTACAATAAAAATATCTCAATTTTACTTATTAAACATATATCCATAAACAATAAAGTTTTTAGATATAGATTCATAAAAAATCAATATCATCACAAATGAAAACTCGTTGATCTAATTTTAATTTTGATTAAACAACGAAAATAAAAACAAAAAGATCCCTATCCCCATGATATATTATTTATATACAATGATTTAAAACAAGTTATCGACTAATTTTAATAATTTGTCGACTTTTTAAAATAAATAATATATTATAATAAAGATATTTTATATATTATGATTAGTTTTTTTAATGATTTTTTGTATTTAAGTTAAAGAACAAAATATGTTATGTAGATGAACAAAACAAGAATGAAAAGAGTAGCCGTTTTTTTTAGTCTGGAATTCTTGACTGAGATAAATCGTCATGTTTACACTATGTCAATTGATTATACCACTGTTATCACTCATATCTAATTCTTTTTGTAAAAGTTAACATTTGAATCTACTTCAAAATTGATCAAGATGAAATTAATTTTATAAATGATTCCTCCTCCTGCCTTCATAGCGATCGGACGTATTTTTTTTGTACCTATTCTTCTCTTATTCTGTACATATACGTGTCACGTATGTGTACATGTGAGCTACTTCTTATATCAATTTTTATAATTTTGGTAAATTTTATCGATATTATTTCATAAAAAGATATATGACGATATGAGTGCAACAACAAGGTCATTGCGTGATCCAAAACAAGATCAAGTCGGACTTAAAAACATGGAAAGACTTGAACAGCAACGTCGGCAAAAAGTTGCAAGATCAAGATCTGATGATGAAGATATGGATACTCCTATGAATGATGATCAGTATACTTATCCTAAAACACCCAAAACTGCACGTTATAATGGTCCTCATNTCATTGTCAAAGAATATCTCATAACTCGGACACATTAAAGTCGATTAGCATGAAATTTTTATGAACCAGAGAGATAGCATAGCTCTCTCTCTAATGAGTGATCACAAACTAAAAGACTTTCGTACTGCACTAAAATAATCCTACTCCAAATAAAGATATGCGTTTGGCTTTTAAGTCCCTAGCATTTAGGCTAAACTGATTGTTGTTGATTTCCATGGTCAGGGTTCATTGAGCCTTATCCGTCATAAAAATATGAGCTCAAACATTTGACGTTTAGGCAGTTTTCATCTGGTAGCAGAACTTGTGATGAATACTGTACAGATTATATATTGGTTCTATATGTGTTACTCATGGCTTTTGACTTTTAGACGTTGACTGACCTTATCACGTATTCAACGATGTTTTAAAAGAAGAACGACAGTCTGTAACAGATTTGAAGTTTTAGCATGCATTGACGCTTTGAAATAAATGATAATTAGTACAATGTTGGTACTAAATTGAAGGGTTTATCCATATACGAATGCTACAGTGATAAAATATCATAAAAATAAAAAAGAATGAAATAGAACATTAGGTCAAATAATCAAATCGTCGAACTATAAAGGGGTCCTTTCTCCGCTGATACTTGTTTATGTTGCTTCATAAAACAGAGCTGTAAACGAAGCTGGAAAGTTAGCATTCAAGCGGTATCAACTGCCACTAAGGATGTAGCTGAAGGGTAAGCGTTTCCAAAAATTGTTAAGTGTGGTATTGAATTACAATTGAGAAATATCGCTTACTCCTAATCGAAACACGATTTGAAATGAGATAAAACTTGTTGAGAAGTACATCATTTTATTCACTTTGATAGTTAGCGATATTTGTAAATGTCTATGATAGGAAGATGATATACATCATAAAAATGTGTGTTATTCATTAGTCTTATCTAAATTTTGGAGTTGAATTCAATTGTATTAGAAGTCCCTGTGCTTCTTCTCTTAGTTCGGTTTTATTTGGAATCATCATCCAAGATAGAGAGCATCGCGATGAGAGAAAAAAAGAATCAAAGAATGTAAACAAAGAGAACGAAAACAGAACAGAGACAAGAAACGAATGCCAAGGACGAACAGAGACAAAACGAACAGTAATAGCTGAAGCGATATGAGGGTATGTGAACAACATGCCTGTAACAAATTGCTTCTCCTTTATTGTATTATCAAAACGAGTTTAGTCGAAAAAAGAAGAAACAGTCAACATACAGAGTGTCCCAAAAGTCCGCCGAAAAAGTAAATTCATATAATTCTTTTATTTGTCAAAGCAAATCAAATAATTTGATGTCATATGGTAGACATCATCGTGAAGTTTTTATTGATACAGATAAGTTTGGCAAAAAATGTCAAAAGATATAGCTTTTGACTAAAATATAGAAAATACGTTTTTTTTCAAATTTCGCTGAAATTCTCCTTATTTTAGTTTTTTTGATCATTTACATTTTTGCGGTATTTTGAGAGTTTTTAAGTTTTCAGTGCTGTTCTACAGTTATTTTCTCAAACATCCTCAAAAAGAGAGATCAAGTATTGAAGTTCGCTTATATATCACAAAAATATGTTACTAGAACGGCACTAAAAACTTAAAAACTCTCAAAATACCGCAAAAATGTAAATGATCAGAAAAACAAAAATAAGGAGTTTTTCAGCGAAATTTGAAAAAACGCATTTTCTGTATTTTAGTCAAAAGTTATAAGGGATGTCCCAGAAGTTCTGAAATAATTTTTAAAATTTATCATTTTCGTATTTATTAAAAACGAATCGTTTTGAAACTTTGAAAGATTGTTGAGCATACCTAATACTACACAATCACAAAGTTTCAAGTCTATATCTAAACCTGTTGATGAGAAACTGCAAAAACACTGCGATGCATTTTTTTCAAAATTTTCCGACAGTTACAATTGATGTGAAAATAAAAGGAAAGTTGTTATTTTTAAAGCTTCTTACTAGAAGTATCATGTACTACGTAGTTTTCACAATTTCGTCATCATCTAGTTTATTAGCATCAGAATAATACATTCAAATAGAAAAAACGAATCAAATTAACAATACTTTTGTGTTTGATTACTACCTCCATCGATAACTAATTTTAATCTTTCCGGTATTTTGTCGATTATTCGTCGACATAAAGACGCACTAAATTCATTCCATTCGCTTCTAATATCGTTTTTCAATTGTTCGAGACTATTGTACTGTCGCCATCGAAGCGTCTCTTTCAGTATCCCCCACACGTTTTCGATTGGCCAGGCGTCAGTTAATTTTGCAGCACAATCTTTTGGTTCAATCCGATGGTGAAAAACATGATCAACGGCATCCAGAGCCACTCGCATCCGTTGATTACGATCTTCATCGTCTTGAAAGATAATATAACGCAAATCACCTAATTCTTCATTCGCTTTTTCTGCAATAATAATTAGAATAATTTCTGCATATGTTTCACCAGTAAAATACATCTTTTTGCGACGATCACTACCTTTTGGTCTGATGAGTTCTAACCACTCATCAACAAAAATTGAAGATTGTTTAGGAGAGGGTGGGTATAACAGAATTTTAATATTAACACACACACTCACACCCACACCCACACCCACACCCACGCCCACACCCACCCACACCCACACCCACACCCTGCAGATATCAATCGCAATGACAGTTGTTGTCAGGAAAAAAAAGCATTGATGTTCTGTAGAGCTCGTGGTTGTCATTTTCAAACGTATTTGATGGTAGAAAAAGGTATAGGAAAAAAAGCTAAAGCATTTACGTACCTTTATAAATCGTTGAGCGTTTCAATTTTCGAGAAAATCAAAGATTTTTTAATTAATAGAAATTCAATCTGTTTGTGTAGAAAATTTATTTTAAGAAAAATGAAAAATCATTTGACCTATGTTGGATAGAGAGTCATTGCTTTAACATATACATCGGGCAATCAATAATGACGAATATTTTTTTTTTCGCGTACTCTTATTCGCCACGTTCGACGACACTCACAATCAAGACGAATGTTCACTTACTTCACTTGTTATGTTGACAAGCATCAATCGCATATATTGCGGCTGCAGCACATGCTAGTCCAATTTGTCTGAGATTATTTTTTCTAAGAAAAATCGTATTCATGTAGCTTTATTCGTTTTTCTTGCGCGTTATACATTATTGTCTATACACTCTTGTGTATATAAAGTTGATCACTGCACTTGACATAATTCTCTTTTTGGTCGAACCATTCATTTTGTATTATTGAAACGCTTTGGAATTCTGTCTTACTTTCATCACATTGTTTTAAACAAACATTCTTTAGTAAATTCTGCTGTCACCTGCATCCTTTATGCCCAATCATCTTCATTAATCTGGATATATCCCGTTATTAAAATTTTCACTACAAACTTTTTATATTTTCCTATTTTATTTTTTAACTTATAATGATTCCAATACTTTTTTCTTTTTTCATGTAATATATGCTAGCTCGAAAGCCATATTCGAGTATTAAATTAATCAGTCATACACAAAACGACACGATGCTTTCGAGAATAGACAGTCATAACAGATTTTCTCTTTTCTCCAAACTTTAATGATATAGAAAAGGCTTTTTTTGGCTGAAAATCGAATTTTTTCTGTTTTTCGTATTTTCAAACAACTTATCTCGTTCCATTGTCTCGCAAATTGCGACCTGACGTGAAACTTTTTTCCAAATTTTTTTATATCGATTTTGTAGAGCTTGAAATTCTCTACAAGATACACTATACTAGATTTTCCCATTCGATCTCTAGAGCCTTGAAAAATGATTTACAATTAAAAAAATTCGGTCTGAAAAAATCTGATTTTTTTGGAAAACTTATTTTTTCCATATGAAGACCCCACTTTTTAGGAATCTCATTCGAGGCATTTTTGTTCAGTTTGACGAGCTCTTTCGAATGAGATGTTGCCCAAAAGAAAACAATAAAAAATGACGGAGTTAGATGCGAAATACGAAGAGGCTTTTTTTGCTGAGATTTCTCAGACCCCCTTTATGTTTCCAAGGCTATAGCTCCGCCAAAGAAGATCATGAGAGTCTAAAAATTTTTTCATAACCTTACTTTTGCACAGTGAATCGAATAAGATAATAAAATATATATGTTTGTTCCGACCATGTTATGACCCTCTGGTGGTATGGTCGATGTTCTCGCGAAACCTCTCTTAAGTGTTTGCATAGAGACCATATGTACGTTGCTGACATTTGATTATAAAATAGTAATCAGCGATCGATGAACAACTCACCGTGTTGGTTCTGTGTAGTTGACTTTCTTAAATTCTACAAAACAGCATGCAACCACTCCTGTTGTGAGACACTCAGGCAGTAGGCCTTAGGATTTTGTTTTACGATACCGAGGACGCAAACTTTTGACAGATTGAAATGGTGGATAGATAATGCGACATGTTACTTGTGCAGAAAGCATTGATTTCCTATCTTGAGTTTCACGTTTTGAAAATTCCTTGAAGCGAAATAGAAAGAAGTGTTGCTTGTAAAACCTGTCATCGTCTGGTATGTTATCCGTGAGCGTGTTGCCGCAGTTTACCTTGCGTCGATGTTCTTGAAAATGTTTAGTGATAACTAAATTTCTTCTGCGAAAACTCCAAAGGGGTGAAAGAGAGACTTCGGCCCTTCCCACTAGCAGCAAAGTGTAAGTGAAGCACGGATATGGGTATGAGTAGAGATGTCCGTGTGCGAGCGGAGTAAGAACACCCACACCCCACACCCACACCCACACCCACACCCACACCCACACACCGAAACCCCACACCCTCAAGTGCAATCCCGTTTCTTCCACCTGAAGAGACCCTTGAGCAAGGTCGAAACGCGTCGTGGAACGCTTAAGTGATACTCGATTGATGAGACACCATCCTCACTTGCCTTCCATAAACATTTCTGTATAAACTCCCATAGAATAGCCCTTGAAAGCTTAAGGATATCTCCGTACAATAGCTCATGAGGGCCTAAAGGTACTCCTATAGAACAGCCCCTAGGAACCTAACGGTAC